ATCCACGCTTCAATTAGCTAAAGTGCAGGAACAAAGCTGCTGATACGACATCGAGTAGTTCGTCACAGTTGACAAGTCGTTCAACGATTACCCCGATAAGGGACAGGACGCTCGCCAGGATCCGTCGAAAACGCTCGTCGCTGATTCAACGGCCGCAAATGGTCGTTTTTACGCGGCGTCCCTATGGCGACGGGATCCTGAAAAGGTTCCAGGCTCGCGAATACCAGCAACGAGAGACGATGTCGTACCAACGAGCCGTGTTAATTAATTAATAGGCTCTCTGTCGCGCGGTAAGCGATACGCGTGGCACGAAGTGGCTTAGGAAACGGGCGGCGTAAATAGCAAAATATCGTAATGGCGTAGAGACTAGACTCGGCTTAGTTATATTAGTCGAAGTAAGTGGCATCCGGCAGGCGTTAACGTGGCTGGCTCGTTAATGAATTGGGTATTTGTTTAAGCCTGCGCGGGACGGTGATAATAATTTGCGTCTTATTTCGATGGTGATGGCTCGTTGAAAGAATCAAAAGAATATTCTTTCGTTTATTCAACGCATCGACTTGTGGGTTTTTCCTCGAAATTTGATTCCACTTGGATTTTTAGTTTCCTACTTTTGATGGTATGCAATAGTATTTTTTTGACAAAAGATTTAACCCTAATCTGGCTTTTAATAAATAAATACATAAGCAGAGAATATCTTCTATTCCAGTTGTTTTAGTTACATGTATCAAAAAGAAGCTAAAAAGTTAGAAAAATATTCATTTAGACTCATTTTTTCGGTCTTTTATAATGTTTTAATTTCGAACCATTGTTTCCTTTAATCTAACGTAACGTGTGGCTAGCTTCCCTTTGTAAGCGTTTAATAGTGAGAAAGTGTGTGGAATTTTCGTAAAAAATGTTACAAGAACAGGAAACATTCAGAACTTTTGAGACTTAACCGATATTGAAAATGAATCTTTCTAATTGGAACGTTGAATTTCTATTACATTTTCCAATTTCGAGGATTACAAGCTTTTCAAAAGTATATATTATAGATGTATGAATGAAATACGACAATAAGTACTTCCTAAATGCATGAATAAATTATTACAGGAGATTTAATGGACACATTAAAACGCCAGATAAATTATATGCTTCTATACAAGCGTGCAAATGAATTTAATTATTATCCTTCGCATTGTCCCGTCCCGGAAGATCGATCACGAGCAATTTAGCTGCTCGAGTAATTTAAGATTCTGTCGCTATTCAATTCGACGGCGGAAACAAATTTTATTATCGATTACCAGTAAGAAAACGTAACACTTCATTAACTTTCTCCATTCGAACCACTTCACTATAAAAGTATTATAATCATGATTCTCTCGATACTTTACGAAAATCAAAAGTAATTAATTTTATTTTATCCGCAACATCTAATACATCGCCTTAAATGTAATAAAAAAGAATTTTATGATGACATATTTTTTATTGAAATTGAAATTATTTATTTTCGTGCAAACGCATGAAAGATTTTCTTTTTGTTATTTAAGATGAAAGACTAATTATTTTAAGCTGCGTGTAATATCAATATTTCTCATTATTCAGTCTTTAACCCCTTGACTTATGATTTAATTCTGAATAATTTTTCAAACGTATACTGTAATACTCTTGCAGCATTTTTCCCTTGTTGGAATTCGTAAAGAATGCATCTGTTGCCATTTTCGACTCTACTGAATTGAATACTGGAGGTTATGTTAGGCCTTTCGCTAAACTATCTTTTGTTTTAACTAGCTATATATCAACACTATATGACCGCAAAAGGGCGGGAAAATCTATTGACTTTAAACTTGATTTTATAACTGCTTAAGATAATTTGGATTATTCATTTGTACACCTAATAATTTATAAGACTTGATGACGAGTGAGTGGCCTCATAATTGTGAAACTTGTCATGAGTCAGACATGTCATTATATAGCAAGGGGTTAAAGAACCATTTTTACTTTTATAAAGATATTCCAAAGTTCAAGGAGATGTGACACGGTATCAGAAAATAGGTCAGTTCAAACTCGAACGAAATAAAATAAAAATAAATATATGATTCAGCAAAGTTGTAATTTATTTTAAGGGTTAAATATTATTGTTCTTTATACTTTGATCTATCACGATCCAAGCGAAAGTATGTTGCACGAAAAAATTGTGTTTTAACCAGCGTTCGAGGCGTTTTAGCGTACCGTGCGACGATCCACGTGAAACGTGCAACGATAACGTTGAAACTCGAATAAACTCCGGGCGAATCGTTATCCATTAACGGGATCCGATGGATTCGCGATTTCCGATTATATTTCCTTGCGTTACAGCGCGACTGCGGCACGGCTGTCGCCCGCAGTGACGAGAAGATATTTTGACGAGACTGGGTTGAAGCCGTTCCGGAAATCACGATCGCCTTGAGGCTTTGAAATCGAGGATCCATGGGTACAAATTGCGCGTAGGTGGACGGGCGGGCGTCGCTTTAGGCTTCAACCACATTGTCGCCCCGGCAAAGTCTAGTTTCGATCATCGAGTGTCGCGGTTGTTTGCAGAGGGATCGCGAAACTCTGTGAAACGAGTAAATCACTAGCGTCGTGTGTTGCGTCGCAAACCCCCGAGCGTACCGTCGCGACGCAATACGTGATTCAGGCCCACGTGTTCGGGTCTAAGAGAACTTCTGTCTTTGCGAGGCGAGTCGTGGTAAACAAATCACTTGAGAGCCCCTTTACTGGCCATTTTCGTCGCCTAGGAGTGGTATTCTTAAAGTCAGATGTCGGCCAAGTAGTTAGAGGCGCCATTCGACCACTCATATTTACTTCTGGAGATTTTATCACGTGCAGTATATGAAAATGGGATGCAATACAATAACATTAAAGAGCTAGAGAGTGCACTAAGATATGATTGGAATAAAATTCAAAAAACAACATTACAGAAACTAATTAACAGTATGAAAAATAGAATATTTTATATAATTAAAAACAAGGGTGGTAGTACCAGTTACTAATTTTTCAATTTAATTCTCTGAGACGAATTTAAAAGACTGTTATATATTTATATTACTTTTCCAGCTTCTATTACACCTTAATTATTTCCTAGCATTTCTTTCCTTATGTCATCAAAATTATTTAAATTCTTATTAATAATCATAGTGTCCTTATGTATAAACGTATGCTGTAAACAAAGAAAATTTCTGCGCAATCACAGCAGGAATAATAAACGATTTTATTATTAATCAAGAATCAGTATTTTTATACTTTTCTCGTCGTGACACGACGTCGTGGTTACCGCGAATCGACGCTCAAACCGTTGCCGTGCGTTCGTAAACGTGAAAAATAATCTATAAATATTTATAGAAAAAAAAGCGAGCGAAAGAAAAGCGGAAAGAGAAAAAATAGCACGAGGAAACGCGAATTGTTCGGATATAAATAAATTTGTTCCACATTGGTCCGACGCACGGGATCGATATCCCGCGAATCGGATAAAATATGGTCGCACGGACGCGTTAGAACTCATCTGTTATGATAGCAGAGCCTGATTTTCGTAAAAAAAAAAAATATAATCGCCGATATGTTTAAAACGAATCGACGTTGAAATAAGTTTATACGTGTACATTTGAAAATAAGGTTTGATATTGTGATATAAAAAAATTAATTATTTGTGGTGTAAATCGTTCAAAGTGATTGAAAAAGTACTACATTTTTCAATGAAATTGAACGGATATAAATATTTCCACGAACCGTGAAACAATTTAAAAACAAATTATTTTTTAAAAACTCCAAGTTTCAGCTTAAAACAGAGTTTGCTTTGTGAGTTTTATTAAATATTTATTGAAATTGATTAGAATTTATAGTTTATAAATATTTAAGAATAATTCGAGTCAAAACATGGTATATTTCAAATTATATGAGTTATGATAAGTTCTATTTATGAGTAATTTATTTTAAGTTTGAAATTGGATTTAGGAGTAAAAAGTTTTAAAGAATGTCTCATTTAATATAGAAATCGTTCTTCATTTCTACAATAAATGAGAAAACTCGTATCCAATTTAAAATGAACACTATTAAATTTAATGAATCTTCGTTTCTGTATTGCTCTTATAATTAAAGAGAGGTTAAAATTTTGTTCTTCCCGTCGCTTCGGCGATATTTAAAATTAAATTAATTAGACCGATGAATCGTAAATGAAACGGACGAAAATATCGACGCGATGTGGCGGAAGTAAAAATGTGTTAAAAAAGAATTTAAATACGTTAAATTGCGAGTAATCCTTAAAAATGCCCATTCTCCGCGACCGCGCCAAAATGCCCTCTTAAAACGAAACCTGCATTTTCGCTGTACGAAATCTAATTTATGCCGCCGGCATTAGCGTTGTGGTGACCCACCAATTGCGGAAAAATTGTGGTTAACCACCAATTACGAAACCTTCATTAAGTAAAACATAATTTTGTCCATATCTCCGAGAACTGTATTTCGGATGTAATTAGACGCTTAATTGCTTATAAACTCGACTTTAAATTCTTCCATAGCTATTTATAAAACCACAGTCCTTAATTATTACCATTTTACTACAAATTTCACGCTTTCTTAATAAAATAATAAAAATAACATCGGTTTCTTAAGCTCCCAGTATTTCTTTAAGGATAAAATAAAAAAAGAATCTGGAATGAAATTGTGAAAATTGAGAAAAGTCTCTAAACTGCAAAAATTATCTGTTATTACTATTATTATAATTTAAAATATTCATATAGTTCACATTATTAATTAATTTTCGTTTAAAGTACAAACCGACGTGTAATTTAACGGGAATTTTAAGGTTACGTCGTTTAGATACGCGTCGAGATATTTTTGCAGTTAACAAGACGCAAAGCTCTTTGCAAGCTCGAAAGCACCAAAGTTGGGACGGGTTATGGAGACGTAGGTGAAGCGTGGATCTACGACCAAGAAAAAAGGATGGCTCGGCAAGAGTTAAGCGGGTTGTTTGTAAATTTTTGTTCCAGGTCGACCTATGGTTCATCCACCTAGCCAGACGGTGACGGCGAAGGAGGGTGAACCTTTGAGCATCGTCGCCGAATTCTGTGCCGAGCCAAGATACACCAAGGTCTTCTGGGTATCCGAGGAAAACGTCTACGTGCCTGGTACGCCGACCAGAGACGGGGTTCGAGCCTTGGCTATCGAGGTACTTGACATTTTTTCAAATTATTAATAACGTCTGTGAGAGAATACGAAATTAACTCTCAAAGGCAAACGTTAAAGAAAATAAATCCAGATAAAATTCACACGTTTCAAAGAAGTTACAAGAATAACTATCGCGCCAAACTTTGCTTTATGCAGTTATAAATTATCCGAAAGTAATGTTTAAATCTCAGAAAATTTCACTCTACAAAAATGTACTGCTGTATTCTTAAATAATAGGAAGACGAAAACTAGTATTTTATTTCTAATTATATCTTTGAGTAAGAATACAGACTTGAATCGAACATAATTAAAATTATTCGTGATATAGCGCAGTCTTTTAGAAAGTGATTTTACGAACTAAAGTAACAAGAAAATTGCCTTCGAGACTTTGCGATTAAACTCATAATTATAGGAAATATGCGAGCAAACTGAAGTTTCGTTTAACTTCTTGTTTATTACAAGAGACAGAGGCAAAATTCAATTCTTTTCAAGATTTAATTAAAACACTTTTTAAATGCTTGAAAACTACAAAAGGTCACCATTAATATCTTGTGAACCATATTATTTACCATACTTATTAAATTATTTCTCTTTACTGTATTATGGGGTAATGGGGTACCAGGTGCCTCAGGGCTCCCTGTATATATTTACTTATTCACAAGATAAGAAAATCGTTAACCCTTAATCAATGCCTCCAATACCGCCGTGTTTATTGTTATAAATTCACTATCCTATTACTCCAAAAATATATCAACGAATTTTCTCTAAAAAAAATAAATATCTTTTACACTTCATATAAAAATATTCAGTACATAATTTTTCATCTTACGAGGGGTAGCTTGAACCCAAAGTAAGCTCGAAACGCTTCCGGATCGTTGAGGGTCGATAGAGAACAGCATCGAACGTTCGTGTCCCTTCGACGTTGTTAAAATTTAAATTCACACGGAATAAGTTTGTTCCGTTTCGCCGTTATTGCGCCGTTAAAACTCACGGGGGGTTATTAATTTTTCGCGCAGATGTTCCGCGCGGAATAGTTGGTAGCCAGTATTGGCATTCAAAACAGAATCTGGGTCAAAATAACTACGCCCACCGCAACACGTGCACCGAGGGTTGGCGCTTCGTCGTTCCCCGCCGTAACCCTCGCCGAGGAGCTGCTATTTCGCGAATTAATTACCAGCCACTGCAGTCCCGAATAACAAGGGATACAGAGAGAACCAAACGGGCTGGCCGGATAAATCACGGTACCGACTGCCATCGGCTCGCCTCTTCCGACGAACGCCGCCCGGAAATTTCGTTCCTCGGGAACTTTTCGATGAAATTTTCCGCGGACCAACGCCCGCCGCGCCTCCCCCCAAAGAACAAAAGTACTCGCGAGGCGACGACGTCTCGATGTGTTTGCGCCCCTCGACAACGAGACCGTTCGGGAACGAAAGCAAGCACAACACCCCCTCTCCCTGACACGCCAACCATTTCAACCCGAAGATTGTTTGTCTGCGAAGTGCACCCTGAAAAGAACATTACGACGTTTTACGACGCTTCGCTTCCTTCGGTTGTTCCCGGCACGTCGCTCTCGCAGATGGAACAACGTACGCGCAGTGATTTGTGCACCCGCGCGTGTTTATTACGACTTCGTTGACGAATTAACACGTCGACCGCCGCGTCAGCCGGATGTGAACGACGCGCGAGATTCCGCGGAGCCTCTGTTTACTCCGACATAATTCGCCAAACTTGGCAATTGAAGTAATAATTGCTGATACAACGTGATAATAGAAACGGAAATAATGAGAAACGAGGGGGGTCGAATCTCTGATCGAGAAGGTTAAATATATTATTATTAATCGTTTATTTAGGGGTAAAATTTTTTAGTAGAAAAAAGAAGAGATATGTAAAGAAATATTGAATTAAATTTTACACGAGAAAATATCGCTTATAAGAGCTGGTAACATAATTATTGTACGATACATTGCGAGGGTAGTTTTAGATTTCTTGAGGATTCTTCAATTATATCTATTTTTGTGTGTACGGAGTATAAACTATACAATTTTAAATAGAATGGTTTAAAATAAAAATTAGTGTGATTCCTTATATATTTTGAAGGCACAGACAAGGGGGACGATTGAATAATTGCTGGACATGAAATACCTATGACCTTTAATTAATTTAAATAATTAATAATAATAATTAATTTCTTCTATTATGCAATGTTTGAAAATTTAACTCAATTGAGAAATTTCTAGGTCGGATAAATAATCTTTTGTAATTTTGTAATTTATTCACAATTGAAATTTTTGCAAAGCAATGGCTTTTTTGCCCATATTAAAATAAATAAATAACTCGATATCTCGAGAAATATTTTATCAATTTTAATGACTTAACTTAACCACCACAAACTGAGCCCAAATCACATTTTAAGAATAAGAAAATTTGGAAATGTTAGAGAATGGCGACCTGAATCGATTCGTTTATCAAAAAGTGTATGATCCCATTTTAAAAAAACGAACCTGACGAGAAATAATAATTACATCGAATAACAATCATCTCGAACCCATTTGAATTCTATTAAACGAATTTTTCAGTACAATCAATAATTTAAAAGCATTTTAACATTCTTAATCTCAGGCCACTTTGTAAAATATTTAATTGTAATATTTAAAAAATTCTTTTCCTTGACTATAGTAGCTCTGTAGGTTTGTATGTCTGCATAGAGCATGTTTTCTTCTACTTTGTCGGACCGGATCAGTATAATTGAACTAGTCTGACCGGGGATGTGTTCTATTCCACTTGTCTGACCAGTGTGGTCTCTATTTCACTTGACAGGTGAGGCATGGTCCCAATTCTGTTTGTCTCGGAACGGTCTGAATCCACCTGTCGATCAGCTTCAAACTCTACTCGATCTGTCTGTGCAGAGATGGGGTCGATCTACTTGAACCGTTACAAACGCTTTCTATTCCAATTTCCCTGCCAATTATGATACCAATTTTACCATACGAAGTGTCTCCGATTCTACGAAGTCAGTAAACGATATAAAAAGTGAGTGGAATTGAATCGAGAAAAAAATCGTATTGTAGCTTTTATGGAAGTCATGAGAAAAAGGAAATTTCCGTCTGCAAATTCACCGTGATTTCAATCGTAAAAAAAAACGTCTTCGAGATTTCGGGAACCGTTCGATTTTTCTTCATATATTTTGAAAAAAACCTTTACGACTTTTCTCTCATAGGGTAGAAAGGCATTTGAGAAAATTGAATTTAAAGAAAGTATAGGGTTCGACTTTTAAAACAACCCCATAGAGTTTGTGTACGTTTACTTTTTACGAAGTTTTGATCGCATTAGGTTCGAGGAATTTTTGTCAATTGTCAGTTTAAAAACGTGGACGAAAAGTTATCATTTGAAGCAACATCGATCATTCTCTAAATTATTAAATATATCTTCCAAAAAAAAAGAAAGCAATGGAAATTAAATATATTTACGAAAGGCCTAAAAAGGAATATTTTAACAACTACAAAACATTACTACGATCCTGTATGAAAGGCTCGTTCCAATTTAGGGGTTAATATATTCATAACACGAAATGAATAGTAATCATCTGACCGCGTACGTTTCATAGTCTATTGTTTCAGTCGGATACGGTCAGCAATGTTTGCTGCTTTATTTGCCTAGTCGATATAATAATTTCTGTTGTACGATTGGATCTGCTTCGTATAATACTCGTCCGGTATAATCCATATTACACTCGACCGGTCTATTAGGTCCCTTTTTCTATTTATCCGATCAGAGACAATCCCTAATTCTCTTATATCGAAAATTCTCGCGCGTTCGACGAGACAGTACGGTCAGCGTTTCTCGAGGAAGTAATTTAAGTCTTTCAATCTCCAGCCCGCGAAATTCGTTCCCTTACGACGTCTCGTATCTGCAAAATGGTTTACGACAGAGACCACGAAAATACTGTCGCACCTTTCCATATATCACAGCGAAATCGGCATTCGTTGTTCGCTGGAACCGACGGTGGCCGTGATTAATCTTCATTCGCAGAAACAATATTCCCGTCGATTCGGACAAACCTGCTCGAGCGAACATGTCCGGCGGAAAACGGAATACCAGTAATGATTCTTAAAATGAACAACGCTCCGGGGCTGGTCGGTTCATGTTTCGTACAGTCGAGTCGAAATTTAACAACCATCGTTCATACATTCTCCCTTAAAAGGATTAAAACAATATTACTTTCCGTTAAATTCATAAACATTGAGTAAAATATATAATTATATAACATCGAAACAACTTTATTGTAATTATTTTAATTTAATCAGAATATACTGTTATTAAATTATTAAATAAATACAAGTTGGCGAGAATTGAATAGAAACGATCAATTTACGAATCACGAGTTCATTTTAAGAATCATCGCCTGCTTACGCAATTAAGTACTCCGGGAACAGTTCCGATGAAATCCGTAATTTCTCCGGTGGAAAAAAAAGAAATCGATGGAGAAAAACACGATACAATCGTCTTCCGTTGAACGAATTAAGAACGTTCCCGCGCGGAACAAAGGAGATTAAAAGTTAATAAAAACAAACGCGTAGCACAGGTGCATTAACAAATCCCTCTAAAGCTACGTTGGATTCTTTCCTTTCGCCTACTCCTTCTCTCGGTTTCACGCGCTACGCCGTTATTCCTGATTCCTCGAAAAAGAAAGAAAGAAACAAGAAAAAAAAGGAAACGGTTAATCCGTCTTTTGTGCGGTCATCTACTCTCCGGACCCTGTCTGTCGGAAGAGGAAAAAAGAAGAAACGGACGAGACGCTCGTAGAAAAATGAAATAAGCGCTTGTGCTCGCGTATGAATTCGGTATTCGCGTTTTATTTCTTCTCCTCTCGTATTTTCACGGTACGCAACAAGCATTCCTGTATCTCGGCGGCTGCGGGGCTCCCCCGTTTTATTCCCTTTTTCGCGTTGCTCCGTCGACAAGAAATCACGCTTCGGTCGTTCGCGCTGAGACCGGCTGTCT